GGTGAGAAGTTATCAGGATGTACAGCATCGTCCCCTAACCATCACTGTACACTCTCTGACCACACTGAAAAGTCCCCTAAATTATTTCACAATTCCAATAAAAACATTCCCATCTGCACACAAGAGAGACTCCCAGTCATTAGTTCCTACTGAATACAACCTATAGGGGCATTTCCTACATTTGCAACCCCACTGGCAGCATGAAAGTAGATATTTTTCAGGTTTAGATGAATGACCAACTCAGGAAGGATCTGGGTTTGGGTTAAAGTAGAAGTAACAATAATGAACCAGATTATGGGTCATGGATAACCTCAGGTTTATGTAATTAGTTTGAAACAGGAACCAACAGCAGTGTTGTAGTCCAGTGTTCTATCAGCCTATTCATCCACCCCAACCTCCTCCCTACACTGATGCTGTGGCTCTATAACAGGGGTGTCCAGTCCTGGTCCTGGAGGGCCACAGTCCTGCATGTTTTAGATGTTTCCTTCTTCCATCAAACCTGATTCACATGATCAGGATGGTTATCAGGCTTCTGCAGAGCTTGATGATGAGCTGATCATTTGAATCAGGTGTGCTGGAAACATCCAGAACATGCAGGACTGTGGCCCTCCAGGACCAGGACTGGACTCCCCTGCTCTACAACATCACCTTATTCCATCATAGTTATAATGGCTTTCAGAGGGCGCTGTCCCAATGAAAAATGACCAGTGGGGTGTGTTTTATGGGAGGAGCGATGCTGCTTCTACAGCAGTGACATCAAACACAAACAAACCAACAAACATAAAGCAGCACTGAACTTTGGGGCAGTAGCGGGCTTTTTGTCAGGACAGTTCATGGAGTTGTGGTCAATGGCTGCATGCAAAGAAAGAGCCTTAAAGTTACCACACTGACAGTAACATTGTGTGAATGAACAATATATTTAATGATGTTGTGTTCAGTTATTCCTACCTGTACCATCCATCCATTCATTTTCTATACCCACTTTGCCACGTCCACTGTGTTAGCGTGCTAATGTTTGCTATGCATATCATCCAACATATAGCAGGTGCAGTACTGAGAGTCGTTGCACTTTTATGTTCCTATTTTTTAAGATAGAAATTCTCCATTAAAAATGTGCGTTTTTGGCCTAAAATAAAAGCTGCTGGAGCATTCCTGCTAATTAGCACTAAACACAAATTGCAGTTTAGGGAACTGCTTTGGGATCGGGATCCCGCAGGACTCCACGCAAATCTCCCGGGAACGTGTGATTGTAATCCTTGCTGCGGGCAAAAATAAACTGCAGGTCCCTGGATTTACTGTAACCAGAAGGATGGAGTTAACAAACGAAGCTGAAAAGAAGATTAAAGCTGGTTTTTATTATCCATATTCAAAGTAAGGCAAGTCTGACATATGGATAGAGTCCAGACCCAAATGCCCAGTTGTTCCTGACAAAGACCAAATTGGACTTTGTTGTGACAAATATGCTAAGTGTTGATATAAAGTCAGTGGAGCGCTGTGTGAGGCACAGACCAGGCTTCTGTTGGGTCTGTGTAGGTTGTAGCCTCAGCTTCCTGTTGTTCGCTGGCAGAATGGGAACCCGGAGCTGTTTTCTGCTGCTGGAGCTCATTTGCTTCAAGGTTGGATGTGTTGTGTGTTCAGAGATGGTCAACCTTGGTTGTAGAAAGTGGTTAATTGAGTTACTGTTTGCTTTCTATCCCCTCCAATCAGCCCGACCTCTGACCTCAGGCACCATGTTTTCTCCCAGAGAGCTGCTGCTGACTGCATGTTTCCTCTTTTTCCAACCATTCTCTGTTTGTGTGTGAAAATAGACGAGCAGTTTCTGAAATAGTCAGAACAACAACTGTGCCATGTGTGCTTTATCTATACTGTATGTATGTTCTGTCTTTATATGGCTCCTGTGCTGCACTTTGTTGTAAAAGGGCCGACATGGAAAAGTCTTTACCAACTTTCTACCAACAAACATCTGTGTTTGTGCTGTACTTCCTTCCCTGACACACACACACCCACACACACACACACACACACACACACACACACACACACACACAGTCTGGTCAGCGTCGGTAAATGCTTCACTTTTCCTCTTTCCACCAAATGGAATCAGTTAGCCAACCGTTCCTAAACTCTCAGCCTCTTGCCTCTTTTCTCTCTGTGTCGGTATTTATTAATTTAGCTTGACCCTGTTTTCTTCCCTCTTCCTTCATCGCCTCTCCTCTTTTTTTTCTTCCTCCTCTCCTTTGAAGCGGATGGCAGGGAGAATTGGGATGTACGGGTCCCAGCGGTGGTTGGGTCGTCGTGCTCGACTGGCCTCCTGTCCCACTGAAGCAGAAACGTTATGCTTTCTATACACTCGCCTGCCATTACCACGCTCTGCTTTTTATGTGGAGGAGAGAAGTAGGGAGGAAGGAGGAAGAGGAGGAGGAAGAGAAGATGGAAGGAGCAGAATAAGAGAGAGGAGGACTGGAGGGGGAACAAAGGAAAGAGAGGGAAAGGCAGGACCAGAGGATGACAAGAAAACACAATAAGTTAAAATAAAACTTTATTAATCCTGAAGGAGACTGTTGTGGCGTATATCGCTGGGAAAAAGCAAAATGACATGAAATGCAGCTCCTAAAAAGTAGAAAAGCAATAAGATGTAAGCATGATAGATTGCTAAAATAAAGTAAGCAAGCTAAAATCAGGCAGTAAAATGATCCGGAGGTAATAAGATGATATCACATATGATGATGAAATATTGCACCTGAAAAATTAGATAAAAATTAAACATTGCACATGACGCTGGATCTAAGTGTCCAGTGTTTTAGCTGCCGTTCCTTCAGAAAGAGAAGGAGAAAAAAGAAGGATAGAGGAAAAGACTGAAGATGATTAAAGAGGACAGGAGGAGGAAGGAGTGGAGGGAGGAGAAGGTGGCAGATAAAGGAGTAGAAAGCCGAGAAGGAACATGAGAAAGTAAACAAACTCCTTTTTTTCTGTCAGTTTCTGTGTGATCCTATTTTATTTTTCAGACAGATGTGAAAACAAAAAGTGCTCTCGGTGGGCAAACTGCAAAATATTCTCTCAGCGCTCGTTCCAAAAAGTCATCTTCTAGCAGCGGCAGTGGGAGCAGAGAGAAGGGCAGCTTTAATGGAAGCGCTGCACTGCTTTTAACCTTCAGGAGGCCCGAGAAGACCCAGAGTGTTTGGACAGCCAACTGAGCTGTCGGCTGAAACACTGGGCACGGCGCTGAAAGCTCTTTACTGTGGGTGTCTGTGTGATTTATCGTCTCTCTGAATGAAGCCGTCGTCTTGTTTTGTGTTTTGTGTCTGTGTTTTATTCTGAGTTTGAATTCCTCTGAACGTTCTTTTCATATTTTCTTTTCTAATCATGTAAATTCTATGTGTACTATTTGCTTTATAATACACTGTATGACTGTGTGGACTATCAGCCAGTATCTGGGAAACTGAATGTGTCCTTGACTGAAGTCCAGAACCAATGTGCAGCGCTGTTAATGAAGCAAAGCGAAGCTGTGGTTGAGGAGGTCGGGGTGGTGGATGGGCCAGTGCTGCATTCAGTTTTCCTGTAGGAGTTAGCATCCAACACCAATTAGAGTCACCAATTTACTAATTATTATTTGGTTGCATCCCATTGATGGACACAGAATAAAAGCTGGAACCGTAGACTGTCGTGGAGGAACCAGGATCTAAGCTGAAATCTTAAGCTTGTGGTCAAACAAATTGAATTTCCCTTCTGGGATAAATAAAGTATTTTTCATTCATTCATTTCATTCAAACATCGCTGTGGACTGAGATGAAAGCTTCAGATCTGCACGGACTGAGAAGGAAACTGTAGTTTTATTCACATAAATACCAAAAACAACCTTCCATCCTCTCCTTGTGCCCTCTTTTTATGCACTTGTTTAACAGCTCCAGACAATAATACCACCTAAAAACTCACATAATGTAATGTCAATGAATGGAAATTAGGATTAATTTTCACGTGCTGCTTTTCTCAAAATCTTTTTTAATCTCAGGGCAATGAACTCAACCTGGACCCCTCATTGTTGTCTTAGTTGCCTAATCTTAACCATCATCTTAATGTTGTACTGGACCTCAACAGTCGTTCCATAATCTCAGTCACGCCATCATCTCCATGTGCAGAAACTTTATTTAAAAAATAAATATATATTCGAATCGTCAAATACGGCTTCCTTACACGGCTTCTTGTTTGATGTCAGAGTTTCACCGAGTCAAGCCCGGAGATGTAAAATGCATTAGTTACATGAAAGGACCTCCAGACACAAAGTGTTGAGAACAGCAAGTCTAAAGCTTTCATGAGGCGCCTGTACAATACAGCATTATGGGAACTGATGAAAGACAAAGCAACACAAACCATGAAGGCACAAGTTCAGGAGAGCAGCGGATCGGCAAAGTTTCTGTGGTGGTTCCATTTCCAGCAGATGTTACGTATCCGACCAGAACCAGTCAGTTCTTTACTTTTACTTTACTTGAACAGTCCTGCTTGTTAAATGTGTGTTTTGGTTGTTTTTTTAGAGGTTTGAGTGATTCTGAGTTTGTGTTTTATGAATTGTAACATAAAAAACATCCAGCCGACTAGAATAAATCCGATCTGACGGAGCTGAGAGCAGGAATTCAACTCATCTATTTCTAATACCTTCAATCATTAAACTTTTTTCTCTCTTTATAGACCCTGTGTAGGTCCATTGTTCTGCAGCAGCACAGAGCAACCATCCAGCATGCAGACTTTTATGTCTTCTCTGAAATATTATTGTATATTTTCTGAATATTGATGCTTTAGGAATCTGTTCTCACACAGTTATATGTAGATGCTGGTTGTTTTTAAGATCGTCAGGAAGCTGCAGGAGGAGAAGAGTGGACGATCATTAAAGGATGGACACTGTTCTGAGCATTTTACTCGGTTGTGTTTATCTGCATTACTTGTGATTTCATTTACTCATGAAGTGCAAACCTCTGAGGCCTACATGTGTTTGTGTCTCTTCCCAGTGGTGGTGTTGTATGTCCAAGGCCTGGGAACCAAGGAGTGGAGGGAGGTGAGTGAGCGTCTTTACATCTTCAGCCCACATGTAAACGTTACACCTTCAGATGCAGAATTATTGGATTCAGCGCTCAGCTTTTAGCAGAAATCAGAAGCTTTTAGTGTCAGAAGGACTGAATGACACTAAATATTTGTTTGGTATAAATTCTGTTTAACTGCACGTTCTTTCATCGTCGTTGTTGTTTCTTCAACGTAGGAAAGTCGATATTTTGTGTTCCTTTGTTTTTTTTTAACTTGCAAGACAACTCATGAGCAAAACAACCAGAAATCGACTGAATTACTCCAACATTACAACTTACAGCGTCGGGTGGTGTTCAGGTGTTTGAGCAGAGTTGTGGGTGAGCTGGTGTGCTCAAGCTGCAGTGAATGGGAAGAAGCAAGAACTTCATACATCTGTGCATTCTAAAGCAGGCAGCTATGTAGAGCTACGTGTAAACCGTTTAACCTCTGAAGACATGGGTGGACAGAACATTTTGGGTTATATTACCACAGTGGTTAATTTTTGTTATTTTAATTAATTAATTTTCTTATTTTTTTAATTTTTAAAAAATATGTATTATTATTATTATTATTATTACTATTATTATATTTTATTTTTGTTTTATTATGTATATATTATTTTGTAAAAATATTTTTATATATTTTTGTAAAAATATATATTATTTATTTATTTATTTATTTATTTGTTTATTTATTTATTTATTATTTTTTGTTCTATATAGAAGTTTTTTTTCATAGAAATAAAAAGTGCATATCGAACAAGAGCTCAGGTCTTTAAAAGTTGAGGCAGGGAGGGAACATTTTCATGACAAACAAACTGAACTGTTACTTTGATAAACAGATATTCGTTTTTAAGAAGACTTAAGATGAAAACAGCAGCTTCATGTGTTGTCTTTGATTTCGATACGATTCTGAATGTCAAACAACAACAACAACAAAATATCACCTACAAAGCAGAACACAATAGCGATAACATAAGATGTCATGTTTTTGCTCTGCCCCCATGAGCCCTCATACTGTTTTATATTTTAAATTTATTTAACTATTTTCTGCAGGATGAAAAAACTTTTACAGCTGGTTTTACCGTTTCAAGAGTCACTGGACAGCGTGAAACTAATTAAAATGAGCTCACATTAACTCACATTTTGAAGGCAGCAGGGGAACTATAGCTCCAAATCCTTCACACTTCACCGCTTTTGTGTGGATTTCTGAATTGCTGAGTCATGCTATGCTAAATATGAACGCAGTGCTGCACTGACAGTATGTTAGAAACAAAAACAGTTCTCGTCAGCGTCCCCAAAGTGGCTCTAATCAGATATGAGGAAATATTTTTAGGCTGCAGCATCTCCCACCTGCCATCAGATCTGTGCATAAGGAGTAAACACAACCACTAATCCAGCAGCGCTGCAGTCTGAAGCACTGAGTGTCAAAATTACCACTTAGATTCACAGGAATGCACTCGACTCCTTTTTAGAGAAGTGAGATAAATGCTATGCAGCTAATGTAGGTTGATTTTAGACCCACTTGCTTTAAAAGTCACTGAGGAAAGGTTTAATCACAATCACTCCAGAAAAACACATCCCACAGAAAGCAGGAAGAACAGGATCCTTGAAAAAAGCATTTGTGAGAAACCCAAACAAACGGACATATTAAAAAATGGCCTGAGCCTTCCTGCAGTAAGGTCACAAGTAAAGAGAGTCTAAGCAGGCGTGGAGCAGCAGAATGTCCTGTGACGGTCACACTGATCACACTGTTTCATGGCAAACAGAATGTAATAAAAAATAAGCCCTTCTGTGAAGCCCCAGCAGCCAAATATAGGAATTCATAAATTGGAAAACCATCGGAAACGCTTCGGGAGGTCGGCCTGGAACACCGGCTGTGTGTAAATACGAAACCTCATCTCTCTCTCCGTCCGTCGTCCTCCTTCATGGCTCGCCGTCTCTCTTGCAGTAATTTGCACTTTGTGCCATCAAAGAAAATCAGTCTCACCTCAGTGGGGATCCGCACACATGCGCACAGATCTCAGCGAGGCTCAATCAGTCTCACAGGGAGACGACGCTTTCAGCTGAGCGCTATACGCTCACACACACACACACACACACACACAGCAACACACACACACACACACACACCATCTGCAAAGTGGTGTTGGATGCACCCATAGAGCAGTATGGATCAGTTTGCAGGTAAATAATTCTGTTTGTGTGGCTGTAATCACAGCTATCCGATGCTGAGTGGCAGCCGGCCTCAAAACACCAACAGAACATTGAGTTGCTTTAAACGTATGATTGGCTGCAGCGCTTATGCTGGAAAGAAAATGACAGTTTTCTCTTATGTGGGACTGAATTTATGTTTTTAGATGTGTGGCTTTTAAAAACACTCTGAGGAATCTGCATGATGGCGTTTCACTGCCTGCACACAGAGCTGAATAATCTGCTGCTTCCTCAGTGAGAACCCTGAAGCTTCAACGAGTCCTGTTGGATAAAGGGTTTAGGAGGAGCAATGATGAGCTGTATGATAATTATGGGATGTTTTCCTTTTGAAAGGGAGGCAGCACATAAACCAGTGATAGCCGTCAGTATGAACACAAAGTCCTTGTTTTAATGGGAAAAACCATATCTATACTGTAGGAGTGGAATCATGACTGTTAGACTCCAGCTGTTAGTTTTTAATGACATCAGTGAGACTGTAAATGGATTCATAGATTAATATCAGCAGCAATGACACTTAAAACACCCTAAACCATAATGTTTGTCTGCATCAAGGACTTTTGCCTTTTTTTTTTTTTGCCACATTTTAATGTGGAAATATTACAATAATGCATTTAATATTTTGGGCTGCAGCAGGTGGTTAGCACCGTGGCCTCACAGCTAGAAGGTCGCCGGTTCGCGTCCCGGTGAGGACACCCGGGATCTTTCTGCGTGGAGTCTCCATGTTCTCCCCGTGCAGCGTGGGTTCTCTCCGGGTTCTCCGGCTTCCTCCCACAGTCCACAAACATGTTGAGGTTAATTGGTGATTGTAAATTGTCCGTAGGTGTGAATGTGAGTGTGCTTGGTTGTCTGTCTCTAAGTGTAGCCCTGTGATAGACTGGTTACCTGTCCAGGTGAACCTGCCTTCACCCTCAGTCAGCTGGGATAGACTCCGCCTCCCATGACCCTGGTGAGGATTAAGCGGTCTGTAGATAATGGATTCATATAATATTTCCAAATTAAAATGTCAAAAAACAACTACACTGAGTTTATATATGTGGTTAACCTGTGTCCTTATTTTATCCCAAATGTTTGAAACAACAAACCCAAACAAATCTAGTTTGTTTTGTTGTTGTTATAGATGTTTTCTGTTGTTTTCAGTCTCTGCTTTCTATTTTTTTTTTTCAGTTGTTTCCAGTTGTGTCCTTTTTGTTTTCTGTCACTTTTTTGTGTTGTTTTTATTTACAGTTTTCTGTTGTTTTCACTCGTTGTTTTTTATTGTTTTCATTTGCTGTTTCTACTGCTTTCAGTCTCTGCTTTCTGTTGTTTCCTTTTCAGTTTTCTGTTGATTGCAGTCACTTGTTATTGTTTTTATTTGCTGTTTTCATTGTTGTCAGTCCCTGTTTAGTGCTGTTTTTACTCTTTTCTGTAGTTCTCAGTCACTATTTTCAGCTGTTTTGTCTTTTTTCGTTGCTGCTTTCTGTTGTTTCCTTTTCTGTTTTCTGTTGTTTTTATTTGTTGTTTTCAGCTGTTGCCAGTCACTGTTTCGTGCTGTTTTTACTCTTTTCTGTTGTTCTCAGTCACTATTTTCAGCTGTTTTCTCTTTTTTCGTTGCTGTTTTCTGTTGTTTTCAGTCACTGTTTGCTTTTGTTTGCGCTACAAACCTTCTTGGTTGAATTTAGGAACACATCTGCTCTAACCACAAAGCTGCTGTTGTTTCTACATTAATGAGCTCCTAAAAACTGCTAAAGTGTCTTTAACACTCAGTAAATCCTTCATCTCCAGCTACGCCTTTAGTTGCTCTGTCAGGTTTCCAGCACATCTTTCTTATCACTGTCTTTTATTTCTCTGAGGTTTCCCGTTTGCAGCTTGACTGACAGCGACCGACTGAAATGGATTTCTGCTTTGCTCATGGATGCAACATACCTTTTTAAACTTCGTATACAGTAGATGGGAAAGTGTTGGGTTGCTGGAAGCGATAGAGCGCTAATCCTATCACAGATTTAGAAACTGTGCAGGATAAACTCTTAAGCCTCCATCAGAGCAAAGACATCACAGTTGGAAAATATCATAAAATGCTTCTCGCTTCTTTGAGAAGATAAAAGTTTATCTGAGAGCATCCTATACTTTACTTTGTGTGTCTCTCCATCAGCCAAAGCTTCTTCCTTCCTCTCGCTGTGGAATATCTGAAGCCTTTTTTTTTTTCCCAGCACGAAGCCGAGACTCATGGTTTTGGATGTGAATGTGTTTTCCGTTGCTTTTTATTTTTGTAAATCCGAACTGATTGAAAAGCAGAAGAGCTTTTTTTCTCTCCTCTTCAGGCCCGGGTTGCCAGGTTGGAGTGCAGCCACAGTTGGAGATCTTCCATATGCTTCCAGGTCCCACTCATCTGCCCACTTCCTTCTCTTCCAGGCCTCTCGGGCAGTCGTACAGCAGTCTGTTAGCGGGCAGAAAGGAAACGAGCCGCCTCCCTCCCCGTGACACGTGCGTTGTCACCGGCTTGTAGCGCGTGGGCTGCCCGAACACGCTGAAGGCAGATCTGGCTGAAGGCGATTTTTGATGCAATTAGCAGAAATCTAATTCTCACACTAATGAGAAGAGAGAAATAATTACAGCTCTGCCAGAAACAAACAATTGAGACTTTTTTTAAGTGGGTGACAGAAGTGGAGAAAAGTTGCTGAACAAAAGAGGGAAGCAGAAACTCTTTGAAACAGACCTTATTAGAACATTCTTCTGTCAGGACCAGAACCAGGAGGTCCTGTTGAATAGAAACCAGCCTCCAGCTCTCTCTCAGCGTTCGGCTCCC